GTCCGTCCGTCCGTCCGTCCGTCCGTCCGTCCGTCCGTCCGTCCATCGATCTATCTATCTATCTATCTATCTATCTATCTATCTATCTATCTATCTATCTATCTATCTATCTATCCTTTTATCCATCCATCCATCCATCCATCCATCCATCCATCCATCCATCCATCCATCCATCCATCCATCCATCCATCCATCCATCCATCCATCCATCCATCCATCCATCTATCTATCTATCTATCTATCTATCTATCTATCTATCTATCTATCTATCTATCTATCTATCTATCTATCTATCTATCTATCTATCTATCCTTTTATCCATCCATCCATCCATCCATCCATCCATCCATCCATCCATCCATCCATCCATCCATCCATCCATCCATCTATCTATCTATCTATCTATCTATCTATCTATCTATCTATCTATCTATCTATCTATCTATCTATCTATCTATCTATCTATCTATCTATCTCTTTCTCCTTTTATCTATCCATCCATCCATCCGTCCGTCTGTCTGTCTGTCTGTCTGTCTATCTATCTATCTATCTATCTTTCTCCTTTTATCCATCCATCCATCTATCCGTCCGTCCATCCATCTGTCCATCCATCTATCCATCCATCCATCCGTCCGTCCGTCCGTCCGTCCGTCCGTCTGTCTGTCTGTCTGTCAGTCCGTCCGCCCATCCATCCATCCATCCATCCATCCATCCATCCATCCATCCATCCATCCATCCATCTATCTGTCTGCCTGTCTGTCTATCTATCTATCTATCCATCCGTACTCTCTATCTATCCATCTCTTTCTCCATCCATCCATCCATCCATCTATCTAGGTTTTGGTTCTGTTTGAATTGAATTGAATGCCTTCAGACCCTTAAGCATTACCATATAAAAACCTGTATGCTAGTCATCAAATACACAGAATGAATAAATACACATGTGAAATCTGTCTGTTTATTGACTAGAATAGTTTTGGAAATTTGTTAAAGGTCTATTAGATTTTCACCGACAGTCTATATGTTTATATATGTTTATATTTGGACGTCTTTTAACACAATATAACGCTTATAATTATCGTCATATTTTTCCACCCTTGATAAACTCAGATGTACTATAAAGCTGATCACCGTGGCCTAACAGATGATTAATAAAGTAAAACAGACACAATAAACTCTCCAAGGACACTTTGTTTTTGTCTATTTATTATTTTACTTCTCAGTCATAAAATGTAATAATCTTCGTTTGAGGGTTTTTCCTCATCAAATACAATAATGTGAGTACAGAATATTGCAATTAATCTGACTGTAATTTGTATTATTACACATTATTTAGAGCAGGTGTAAGCAGATGTTGAGAGACATAGAGAAGAAACTAAATTTGACAGTTTTATAACATGTGAATGAATATAAGGATGTGAATGATGGACTGTAACCAAACACAAGCAAAACACCAACACAAATGTCTGCAAACCCAGCAGTCCTATAACTCAAACAGCCCATTTGTGTGGATTTATACTAATAATTAAAAGTTACATGATTAAAAAAAAGGTATTTCTTGCTGGAACGTACAGCTGCAATGTTTAAGACAGAGCTTGAAGCCAGCAGTGATTGACTTCACTTCATTAAAGTTTGCCTTCAAACACATTCAGTGAAATCAAAGCTCACTTAATTCTTCAGATGAAAACTGCAAACTCTCTTACTTTATGGGCTTCATCGCTTCGTAAGTAATTTTGTAACAGCAAAAACAAATTTGTAAAACCTCCATTAGAGATGTTAGAAACGAGCTTCATTGTGTGGTTCAGAAGAGGCTTTTGCTTCATCTGTTTTAGAGCTCAGCTGAAAAACACAAACATGTTCACACATGATTATAGGCAGTGGTATACTGTACATAATGTATGTGGCCGATTCTAGAATTGTGGGTACATTTTGCATCTCAGAGATAAACCTTTTATTATCTCTAAAAAAATAAAGTGTGTGTGTTAATTTAGGAGCTTTTTTTGTCTTGGAAATGTTGCCTATATTAAAGAGTATCCATGTTTGACTGTCTTCGCCTCCTGAGTTGTACATCCAGCTGCAAATTATCATCAGACAATTAAGTCTAACTTACATCTTTTTTTGTGTCTTATTAAGTTATTAAAACATTGCATGTATTTCTAATTTTAGTTATTAATTTCTCTTACATCTAATTTCTCTTACATCGGTTATATAAAGATGGAACAATCTGTAAAGCACTGATAGAAAAAAGCATGTGACTTGCTCCAAATGATGTCACTTCCTCTTGCTGGAAACTGGAAGACATTGAGGCTTGTAATTGTTATTCTCTCATTAAATTGATCACAACATTTAGGACATGCTAATAGTAGATTAATTATCTGTCAACTCTGTTATTCTGACATTTCAGTGAATTTATTATACATAAAAATGAGAAAAACTTAAAATCATCGACAACTCGTCAACTCTTGTTTTCCCAACTCTGTTGTTGTCAGCTCTATTGTTGTCAACTATTGTGTTAACTCTTTTGTCATCAACTCTATTGTCAACTATTGTGTTAACTCTTTTGTCATCAACTCTATTGTCAACTATTGTAGTCAACTCTTTTGTCATCAACTCTATTGTCAACTATTGTAGTCAACTCTATTGTCATCAACTCTATTGTCAACTATTGTAGTCAACTCTATTGTCATCAACTCT